AACATTACCTAAGACTTGGCTCTAAAGTAAAAAGCATAGCCTGTAGTGCAGAAAGGATCAGTTTAAATTTCCGGCACTAGGTAGCAAGAACCAGTCACAGGGTTCCACTGTGGTGGTCTTGGGGCTCCCAATTCAGCACGTGGCAGCTCATTGCATCTACTGCTTGACTCCTGTTGCTGCAACTGCTGCCCCAGCAAGCCTTAAATGAAGTGCCCTAATAAGAAATCTGTTTTTTCAAGAAAAGAAAAGAAAAGAAAAGAAGAAGAAATCCATTTTTTTCAAGAAGAGAAAAGAAAAGAAAAGAAAGGGGATGGGGAAACATAACTTAGATTTCAACCAGGAAGGCATTCCAATTCCCCCCCCTCCCCTTCTTGGCACACTTTTTAATAAAAGCTGCAAGCTTTGGGTGTGACAGTATTCTCAAATGCCTTAACCCAGATGCAGTCTGAGGCAATCAGCTGAAAATGTCATTAGATATGCTGTTTGGTAGACTGTAGGAAAGGCCAGCTTTTGAATTTATTTCTACAACGTTGAAGGAAACACTGAAGGCCAAAGATAAAGTCAAAGTCTTAGTAGCAAAATCAGAGTCACAAACTATGTGAGCAACCATGCAGTCTTGAGCATACTGGTTCACAATTAAATCCCTTTCAGTTCAGTGGGACTTAATTTCAGGTGAATGTCCACAGTGGATTGGAGTCAAAGAGTCAGGAAGCAGAATTGAACATTACCTTTAGGCCTTTGCTAAAACCAGTATGCTCAATGGGATGGAACATCTGGCTTCAGAATCTGAGAATCTGAATATCCACTGTTCTTCCTGCTTCCCAGGATGGGGGCCAGATGAGATCATCTGGAGCATGTTTGGCTGAGGGGGTAAAATGCCTGCCCCCCTGTGTAGCCTTGGGCAAGCTGTATGACCCGAATGCACTACCAGAAAGAGGAACTGATAAACTACTTCGAAATACTTTATACTGTACTTGGAAAACCTTTGGAGAATACCATAAGTCAGAGTCAACTTGACAGCACAGAGTTTCCAAAAGAGTAAATGCAATTTCTGACTTTTGCGTAAGTATTGTACATCCTGATTAGTGAGACATCGCTTCACTTTTCTGTCACTCTTTTTATACGTTACAGGAGACTTTCCCCATAGCTACAAACTTTTCATGTACCCATGCCGTGCAGTCTTTGCATGCTTACTTAAAAGAAATTGTGTTCAGCTGGGCTTATTCCCATGCCAAGTGGTGTGAGAAGGAACCACTTCCCATCAGCAGAGAGGAATGTGAGTCGTCCCCTCAAGCACCCACAACAGAGGGATACAGTGTATATAGTGATACCAACAGTGGCCCAATTGGGAATAGAGGGGAAAAAGAGCGGGAAAGAAGAGTGAGAGGGAGGCGAGAGAGGGGAGGAGCCAATAGTGGAGGGATATCTGGTGACAGGGGCGGAGGAGAATTTAGAAGGTGAAAAAAGGACTTAGACTGGGAGACAGACGGGGCAAAGGAGGAGGAGAAAATGCAAAGGAAGGAGGGATTTGAGGTACATCTGGGGGAAGCAGAACCAGTGGAGTGGACGGTGTATGTCTAGCCCAAGAAAGAAGATCAATGGAAGAAGGGGGTCAAACCGGTGGTGATGTCACATCCAGAAACGCCCATGGAGGGAGAGTGGGCTCGGCACCCCTTTTGCGGCACCATGTGCCTCTGTCTGAGAAGGCCCACGAGAAAACCCACAGATTGCGAATGGTTTGGAGTGAAACCCGACGGTGAACTCTTTTGTATTGCCTGAGTTAAGGGATAGTTATGTTAAATGTAAAGAACCTGAGGGACCCGTTGGTCCAACTGAAGTTGTTATTTATAGTACTCCTTTGTTTGAAAATAAAAGAAGCGTTTGTGAAAAAGGACTATCTTCACTTGTTGGGGAACAAAAAGGGGAATGGGGTTTCCCCTATTTTGCACCCACTCAGAAGTGGGTAAAAACAAATGATCTTTTGTTTTAAAAGCATGTAAAAATTGAATCAAAATTTTACCATTAAATTGAGATTCAAAAAGAATAATTAATCTCCTCTTAAATAATGTTGAATATTATTATTTCAGTATAAATATTATTGAACATTATTTTTGATATAATAATAGAATATTAAGTACCTTAATACTAAACAGTCCTAATGTAAATTTATCAACCCTCTTAATCTGTAAACCTAAGAAACATCTGTGCAAGATAGATTTCCATTAGAAGGGGGGAATGGAGAGGGGAAAGATTAACTCTGGTCTGATTTGGGGGTCTGGCCATAGTCACTACTGGTTTTGACAATGTTTAATCTAGTTTCACCCTCAGTGGATTATACGCCACAGAACGCTGATAAAAGAAAGGTTGTCCACTACTAGTTACTCAAAACTGTAGCCCGTTCAGCCCATTGATTTCAATGACTCTTCCTCCAAACTAAGTTTGTTTAGACTGCAGCCTTGGTTTCCTTTGGAAGAGTAAGCTCTGGACACTATTGGTGTCTTTCAAATATTTACTTACGAATATACAAGCAGAGTTTATTCAATAAATTCAGGCAGCACAACTGTTAATCTTGCATCAGGTGCCCAGAATGTAAAGGTGCCACCTTCCTTGGGCGACAGGCTACCTGGAAGCTACATCCAGCCAAACAACCTCATTCTTCTATTCAGCTTGTGCAGAGATAGAAAACTCTCTGGTTTGTCTCTCTTTCCTATCAATTAACTCCACTGTGAGATTCTGGAAAAATTACATTCTTAGACATTAATAAGCAAAGTTTTAAGGACTGTTTAGCTTCCCTTGTAAATTCTCAGATAATCTGGTGCAGTTTGTGGGCTAGTTGAGTATTTATAGCTGTGGGATCAGCTTTTTGTCCTTTTCAGGAGATTCTACCCAGCCACACGGACCAGTGATCACTGCACACAAAAGACCAGCTAACGACACCCATCAATCAAAGCGACAGATCATCTTTCCCCCTTATCACAACAATACACCCATAACTAAAAACACGCTGATCACCATAATCACCCAATCTCCTAAAAAGGACAAAAAGCTGATCCCACAGTTATAAATACTCAACTATCCCACAAACTGCACCAGAGTTCTGACTCCTGTCCTCTGATGATGCCGGCCACAGAGACTGGTGAAATGTTAGGGAGAAAAACCTCAAGAACACGGCCAGACAGCCCGAAAGACCTACAACAACCAAAACCATAGTGTTAGATTCATTCAAAATAATCCAGACTACCAGGCTCTGGTACTACAGGAGAATTTGGAACAATTTACGTTGCATGTAAAAGACTCTTATTTTTGTTGTGATCTACTTTATCTCACACTTGAGGAATCCTTCCATATGGGAGACCTTTCTTCTTCACTCTTACTTAAAACACATGTGCTTGCTGGAAAACAGGGAAACCAAACTGCACCAAAAGTGAACCAAATTGTGAGCTATATGCTTGTATGATCACCCCCTCAGTCATACCATCACACAAAGATGCAATTCTTAAAAAGGTAAACAAAAAATATCTCTGCAAAAATCGATTCAAATGCCCACAAATGGTGGAAGTGAAAGGAAAGACATTTCGAGAAAACGGAATGTATTCTTGAATAGCTGAACAATAAAATATGCAGAGGTGTGGCCTCCAGCTGTTTTATTCTCTTGAATCAGTTGTCCTGAGATTAATTTGGACTGAAAAACTCTCAAAAGCAATCAGAAATAGAGGATAAAAAAACCCTAATGAAAACATGATGCCGGTGAATACAAAGACTCTAAGGAGGACAGGAACAGATTCACAATTGTAACAACCCATAAGAGGTTTGCTGTAGCCACTGAGGTTAGAATGGACAGGATGGCTGCTTTATTTCCCAGAATAATTCTAGGAGCTGCAGTCTAGAAAAGTGAAAATGCTCAACTTGCACTTTTTAAACAGTGCATGTTTATATTGCAACAGACACCATCTTAAATAGCAAATTACTTTCCTTTGCCTGATATTGAAGAGTAAATGCATCTTCTAAAACAGTGTTTATCTTTTTTTTGTTTGTTTTATTCATAACTATATCAAGTTACCATAGTCTTTCGAGACTGAAGGATGCCTAACAATATCAAGTGTTCTGAACATTTTAAAAGTGATGCCCAGTAATTAAGAACTATCTATGGAGGTCCTTTAAAAGTCAATTCATGTCTCATGTGAAGAATTGATTAACAGTTCTCTGAATCCCTGTTTAGGACTGACTTCAACAGGATTTACTTGTGAGGTGGGACTGTGACTTGCAGGTTGCAGCTGTAAGAAGCAGAGGCAGGTTATGAGCGAAACAGAGAGACACTAATCCCCAAATAGCAGTGTGAGGTGTCCCACCAGCACAGTCTACAATCTGCTCCTGAAAATACACATTAACGACAACGAATTGAAATTTGAATCCTTTAGAAACACACCCATAGAACTGCCATTTCTTACATGGTTTCACTGTTTCAGGGGACATTCATCACGTTAAGGAAGAACTGTTTTTTGAGTCTCATCTGAGTCATCGATGAAGCCAGATTATGGGTAACAAAATGTAGGCTTGTTCTGCTAACCACAGTGTCTCCAGCAGTGGAACCAGGGTGTGTTTGGAATACGTAATTGGGTCCTTTTGCAAGCAAATCATGTACCCTACCACTACTCTGAGTTACGGTCCCTCAACCATGATATGAACATCAGATTTATTCAGAGCAGGGGAAAATGCTTTCGCGGACTACTCCTCCCAGAATTCCCCCAATCAGAATGGCAATGGCTAGAGATTTTAATCCAAAAAAAGTATTTTCCAGGTTGTGAAACACATACACAGACAAACACTCAATACATGTAGTTCAACAGATGATTTGCTGCTTCCCAAATTTGTTGATTTATTTTGAAAACACCATTTTAATTTCAAAAACTTTCCTAGTGCACATATTTCCCAAACACACTGTAACTGAAACATCACATGCCCAGTTTTGCTGTTGAGTCATAAAACCCACAAACTCTTCACGTATGCAGATCTGGGTTACAATCTACATGGACGAGGACGATACAGCTAAAGCCCCTTTGCAGCCACCCACAGTTCATTTCAGGGCTGAGAACGCCTTTAAAAATCTGTTTCCACTTCCATGGAAAATCCTTTGAAATTTGGCATGATTTATACAAGTACACCAAAAAAATCTGTCTGAGGTTTGGCCTCCATCTGAGAAAGCTGACACTGCTTTTGCAAACGGCTTTCGGAGAGCCAGTGACCAACATCCAGAAGAGCAAAGGAGGACTAGCTTGAAGTCTTTTAGGAAACGCCTGGAAGAATGAAGGTCAGTAAGTAAGGGGGGGAGGCAGAATCCATCTGAAAATGGTTGGATCTGTTGTGTCAGAAAATATCCGACACAGAAGCATGCTATTTCTTTAAAAAAAAAGTAACAAAATGTTTCTAAACATTCCTCAAGGACATGGCTGCTATTGGCACTCTCCAACTCCTGCTGAAATATTATAGTTCTGTGCTGGAAGGAGGAGGTGGGGCATGAAATCCATGGAAAGCTGTAAGATTTTCTGCTTTAGGAATGCATCAAATTGTAACTGGTTTCTGCTTTGCAGATCCAGATGAAAATCCTAATTGGAGCAACCGCCTGTCTTCTGCTGTCTTTGTTAGTTATGTGCATCGTATTAATTCCTTCCAAAGGTAAGATAATATTGGAAAAAACATAAACAATGCTTATCAGATTGCCTTTATGCAAGTTGTGTTCTTTCTGGTGGAAATCAGAATATGAGTTATTTCGAACTAGCTTACACCCAGCCGTTTTGCTCCCCTGAAGCTACAGCTGCTGAAGAAGTTTTTATTATCAGAACTTGCTGACTATTTTTGTCGGCATTTCTCTGCGTTTGATAAGGTGGAACAACCCGCCAGGCTTCTGCTGGTGGACCACATTGCCATTGATGCTGAAGGCCAGGAATGATAGAGGCTATACCTTCAGCCATCTGGAAAGTGCCTGGTTGGGAAAAGCTGAAGGAAAAAATAACAACCACAAAAGCTCTTTTGAGTGGCTGTATCACAAGGCCTGTTCTACTAATCTCAGTGCTAGCTGGTAGCCTTTTAAAATTTTAAACACTGAGGGAGTAGGAGCTGGGATCTTTGGTATGCAAAACATAGTCTTCTCTACCACTGGTCTCTGGCAGAGCTTAGAAGCCATACTGACTGGGACCTTCTGGAACAGGTAGTCCTCCTATCCGAAAATTATTCCAAGTCTTGCTTTATATGCTGTCTTGTATTTTCCACAAAGCCTGTCTGTCTGTTGAAAATATGAGAATATTTTAATGAGTTCCGTGACTAATGTTGAGCTTAAGAGTGGAAGGTTAGTAATCTTGAGACTTTCTACCAGTAGTAACCAGTTTCCAATGTTTAATCCACATATCTTTAGATGAAGCTTGACTGACCATCACCAGTAAGCCCTAGAATTCTCATTTCCTGTGGCAGCTTTTCTCAACGTCCATACCATAGGAAAAGCACGGCTTTTTCTGGGCATGGACAAAATATGTTTTGCCTTGCAAGTGTGAAACTGCCATCCTTGGGGCATCCAGGATAGGAAAAAAGAAGCTAAGGGGGAAAGAGGAGGGCAAAAAGTGCCAACGCAAATTTAGACTCCTTTTTTTTTCACAGTTGGAAAATTTTTCTTAGTCTGCCTGAGCCTTTGGATTGACCTTTTACGCGCTACGCTAATGCTGAGTTCTTTAGCTGATTTCCTTACAGCTCTAGTAAACATTCTTTGACATCCCATCATCGTGGCCAGTTTAGACCAGCAGCAGCAGTGCAAGGTTCTTTGGTTCCTTGCCATATAGATTTGGGATTATTTAATGCTCTTCACAGGCTAATAGTGGAATTATATGAACAAATGGCTCATGTAAAAGATAGATGGTTAGATAGATGACTAATGTATGTATGCTATGGTCGTCAGAACCACCGTTGATGTAAGTTGTAAAACCATGAAAGAACAGCCAAACAACCATGTTGTGATTTTTGCTGACATAATGTAAGTAGTGTAACTTTTTGATGGTTACTCATTCAGATTAAAAAGTTAGAGTGGACATTATCTGTTGTTGTTTTTTTAAGTCATGTGACTCAGTGCACAACAGATAATATCTGTGCTGCTTTTCTAACTTGAGACAATTTGATCCCAGAAGTGGGTATAACTAATAGGATTTTGTCACACTGAACTTGATAAACATAATTTACAGTTTTTATATTGTATTCTTATAGAGCTGCTGAAGTTTGTATTTAATATTATATCTACACACAACATTCTCAAATAATTTGATTTTGTTCCCAAACATGCTACTCACAGAGGATATTGTACGTCTGGATGTTTTATAGAAACAAGGAATTAACAAGGGTATTTTTTCCTGCAGTAAGTAAAGTAATAATGAGAATTTTGTACGGACAAAAATGACATCTTTATTAATGAACTGTGGTGTAAGCCTTTTCTTCTTGATGTTGAAGGCTCCCAATTGCTGCTGCAAAGGAAATGATATTATCCACAAACATTTATTTTCAGCAGTTATTGCCAACTCAGTATTTGCTTTGATAGTAATCGTGTCTAGAATGCCCTTTGGTTTTATTTATCTTGACAGCTTGCTTCTGCATTAGCACTGTGGAGAAGTAGTGTCAACAGTGGAAGTGACATGTTTTTTCTACAGTAACTAATAGTTACTTGGCCAAAACCCCAAGCATTACCATTAAAAAAAGTAAAATACAATCTAGAAGGCTGTTAAAGTAAACACAGTGAAATGTTTCCTATGTGGTCTAGAGAGGAAAGAAGTGTTCAGATAAGGAAGTCACATAGGAGCAAATGTCTTCAAATGCAGTGATCAGATAAGAGTGATCTGAGCCAGCCCCACCATTAGGCAGAGCCTGGCAGCTGCTACTGTGGGATACAGTGGCAAGGTGTTGAGCGACAGAGCTGAAGGGGCCACAGAGCCCATCTTGCACCCTCTAAGCCAGTGGTCCCCAAACTTGGGCCTCCAGATGTTCTTGGACTTCAGCCCCCAGAAATCCTGGCCAGCAGAGTTGGTGGTGAAGGCTTCTGGGAGGCCCAAGGTTGGAGACCATTGCTCTAAGCTACCCTACTTGCCACTCATCACAGTGGAAAAGAGATTCAGTTTCCATTTAAGTTCACATCTAGGGATGGGATTTTGAGGGCGAAAAAAACCTCTCAGTCCCACAATTCAGATGGAAACCCCACCAGGGCAAATGATGGGATTGAGAACCCTCAAATCAGCAGGAGGCTGAGCAGCCCACTCACCTCCATCCCATTCCTGTGCCACTTCTTCAGACTGTTAGATAAGTGTCCCACTACACTGTGGGAGTCGTGAGGATTCACGGTGACGTGCAGAGAGGCATAAGGGAATGAGTTGCAATGGAGGCTATTCATTGGAAGTCATTTCCCTCATGCAATTTAGGGAGTCACTGGGAATCCTCATGAGTCTCACATTACAGTGGGATGGAAGTGGCATAAAGCTGAGGGGCTGCTCTGCCTCCTGCAACTTTGAGGGATCCCAGTCCCATAATTCAGTTTGGGGGGTGGGGGGGTTCTAAGTGTTCATTAATTCTAAAAATACCATCCCTTTTGGCTTCTATAAGGAGAACTATATACTGTATAAGGATCTGCCTTGTTCTTTGCCTTAGGCAGCAAAATGTCTTAAATAGGATCTGAGGGTGTTGAATTACTGCTTGCGTATGACCAAGACAGTCCACAAATCCTTGAAAGTGGTCAATAGTAGATTCAAGATAGGCAAACAAAGCACTTCTCCATACAACACATAACAAAACTTAGGGAGGTTTAAAAGCTGAGTTGCTGATTGCTGGCTTAAATCTTGGGGCAGGGAAAGTGTGGCCCTCCAGATGTTGCTAGCTTGGAGGTGCTATCCTCTCTCATCATTGGCTGCACTAGTTAGGGTTGACAGGAGTGGTCGTGTAGCAGCATCTGGAGGCGCTGCAAGTTCCCTACCCTGCTGTTTAGAATTAGATTCTGTGTGGGCAAAAAGGTGGGCCGATGGCAGTGCCTGTGCTGGAGCCTCACATTTAGCTGGTTGGTATATGGAAATGGAGCCTGTGATCAAGAGATCAGAAAAAGATGGGCACTTGGAAGGGGAGCCATGAAGGAACCAGAGAAGAACTGAGCTTTAGATCAAATTAAGTCTGAATTATCACTAGAAGGTAAAAAGACTAAAGTGAGGCTCTTCAGGTTAAATCAATTGATAAAGATAGTCTAACATGAGAAACCGACAGCAGACCCTCAGAAGTTGGTGCCTCAGGAAGCAAAGCCTTTGTATACCTCCACATGACCAACCACAACCACAAAACAAGGCGGGATGATTTGTAAGCCCTGAAGGTGAGAAAGCTCATGTTAGGACAGTTAGATGACTTTTACTACTGAAGGAATTCAGTAGTAAATGATGTGTTATCTGTACCATATAGTCTAACCTTCAGAGCCTTTAATAGCCTAAGAATCAGAAAGCAAATATTCTGATACATTATTGTAAATCTGACATCTTTAAGTTTCAGCAAACCATCCTAGTGAGCCATATGGCAAAACATTAGTTGGTAAACCGGTGACTATGAATCCTGGCCTGAATCCTGTATGCATTTTAGGCATTTTGATATCCATTCATTCATTCATTCATTCATTCATTCATTCATTCATTCAACTACTATGTCATCCATCTGGCTGCCGAGGCCACTTTGGGTGGTTCACAACATGGTAAAACAACAAATAACACTTTAAATAAATTCACAAAACATAATGACAACACAAAAATCCCAAATGCAAAAACAGCTGATAACTCTGTAGAGCACTAAAAAATAATCACACAATAAACAGGCTTTTGTGGATTAAATACCACTTCATCAGGATTGAACCAGTGTGAAGAACTTAACAAAAATTTCAAATGTCACCTTAATACCTTGTTTCAGAAAAAGAGAAATGGAAATTTGCTTCTTAGAATCTGTTTTCTCAGAAGCATCTTAATGCTCTTAATAAACAACTGTTCTGTATTATCAGTCTGGCTAGGCTCATGTTAAACATATGCCTCATTTTTGTGTCAGCTGATTTCTCAACTAACTTCACCTTAGGGGTTACTTTCTGATGAATCAGCTAAAAAACCACAAATGGGTGGTTTTATAAAAGTTCTAGTTTTTTTTTGTGTGTGTGAAAATGATAGAACCAAACACTTTGTTTTCGAGTTACTTTAGTATATATACACATAATCATTAATAGGTCACAGTACCTTCGGGATACAGGGCTTTAGATTTCAGAATTGTTTATTAGGCATATCTTATCTGTGCACAAATGGAAGTTTTTTTTTTCTATATTGCTCATTTGCTAAGACTATAATCTTATGCATACTTACTTAGGAACAAGTCTCTTTGAACTCAGCAGTAGGCTTTCCATTGGGCCGTGCACAAAATTACTACATCATTAAATACAAGTAGAATTGAAATAGTCTGGGTGTTTCAGGACATCTATCAAAACAGAAGCTGACATATTTCATTTAGGAGTGGACAACCTTTTTTCTGCTCATCATTCCTCCAGGGATATTCTGTCGGGGCTACATGCTGGTAGTAAACAAGGCTGAAGCAAGTGGTGGAAGGAATCAGAGCCAAAACAAACCAAGTTGACGACTTTCCCCTCTTTTCCCTCTACCATCCTGTTCTCTCTCCTTTTTCTCATTCTGCCCCCCCCCCGCCTCTCCTCACCAAGCCAGCTGCTAGATAAGGACATGAATGCTAAAACAGAGGCCCAAACTTGGTGCTTTCAGTGGACTTTTGAAAGCAGGCTTTTGTAACATGAGGCTGGGGGCCACAAGCTGTAGCTTACCCACCCCTGCTCTAGGTAGTAAGGGTGCAAAACAAAATGCCTGATCGATTGAAGAAGGTTCTCGCTTTTTCGTAAAATTAGAAGTTATTGCACAAGGACATTCACCACCTCCTTCTGTATCTTTAGTAGGACTGAAGTCTTCAGAAACTTCCAATTCTTGGTCAATGCAAACACTATGTTGACAGGATACCTTTGTAGGCCAGCCAAATACACAAGAAGGGTACAGAGCCACACAAAAATGCACAAGGATTGGGGAACATTTATCTTTATTAGTTCAGGTGTTGAGTGAGCAGCACAGAGGAGGAAGGGTTTATAACTTCTCAGTCGTTGGTGACCCTGTGGGGTATCTGTTGTGAAAACTAGCACCAATGAATCGCCTGATGAGACGCAGTCCTTTGTGTGGCACATACCTCCTCCATTATGTCCTGGAATAACAGGAAAAGGAGTTTCCCTCATCAACCCCCCCCCACAGCTGTTTATTTTGAAAATCTCACCTGATGAAGGGTAAGTAGTCTCGAAACCTACATTTTATGTGCTTCACACTTTTTGTAACTTTTCAGTTGGTCATCTCTATATGGAATCTGAATTTATTTCTTTTGTGCTAATGTGGTTATTAAGAATTAAAAGAAGTAAAAGAAAGGTATCCTGCTAATTAGCAGTGCTTGTTCTGTGCATTGACATTAACACTCGCTTCCTCTTTTTCTTAAGTTCAGCACAAAGGAAATAATCCTCGGCCTTTAACGTTAGAAGAGTATCTGGATGGAGATTTTAAGTACAAAACATTTTCTCCCTACTGGGTTTCAGGTAAGTGACAATATCATTATCAAATATGAGATGCTATGCCTGCATCTTAGAATGTTTTTACCTGCAAAGCCTGTTTTGATTTCTGTGTAGTGTTGTCTTGCTTGTTTCGTGAGAATATTTTTTTAAAAAGGAAGTGGTCACTCTGGCCTGTCATTTCCTGCTTGCTTATTTATTTATTTATTTATTATTTATTTATTTATTTATTTATTTATTTACCCCGCCCCTCTAGACAACATCTACTCGGGGTGGCTTACAAAAATTAAAACACATTAAAACAATGTAGAAAATAACTAGCATAATGCAATTATTGCTTCTATACAAAGTCTTAAAAAATCTAAAACAGTCCTTAGAAGGGCTAAGTTTCGTATATAAGGGCAAATCACCTAACCTAAAAGTGTAAGGGAAGGTTACGTTGTGGGGCCAAACAATTTTCAGGGTTTGTAAAAGTGTGACCGGCCCCTACCCAGGCTTGTCACTTTTTAAAATAATTTTCCTTTGAAGGGCTTGACTCCAGCCATTAACCATACTAGACCAAGTGGTTAAAGAATGAAAATTGATATTCTCTTTATTACAAAGTAAAAACTTCTAGGGGCTCACCTAGATAGGCTGTCCACCTGCACCCCCACCCCCGGCCAATCACCTGGTTTCCCCCGTTGCCATGTAGATCAGCCAAGATTCTGTCACATAGGGACAAGAGTATTAGTGGGTATGTGTGGTGCTCCAATATCTGGGGGAAAGAAAAAAATGGCCCCCTGAACCTCTGGAATTTGCTCCATTGGTTCTATGTTAGCCTTGAAAATAAATCTGTAGTGGGGCTCATCCACACAGAGGTGTTGTCTCTGTTTGCTCTGGGGTTGTTCTAGGTGTTCTGGGTTTATGTTTTTGGGGTCCCCCAAGATCTGAATAGATAATTCCAGTATTTACATCCACACATGGAAAGAGTATTTGTATGTACAGGGATGCTTTGAGTTGTCCTGGTACTGCCTACTCACCCACATCCAAAATGGCTTTCTTCAGATCTCTCTCCGATCATAGATTGCTTTGACTGTTTTCTACCTTTGACTGTTTTCTACCCTCCATTCTCCACCAACTTCACACTCTCCTCATTTCCCTCCTTATTTCACACATCCAAAGGTCATGGAGCGGTGGGGGAAAAAACCACTCACAAGGAAATGTAATCCAATGACACCCACACCGTGCACAGATCCACATGGGCAAAATCATGCATTAGAGCAAAGAGCAAAGCAGAAGAAAAACAGTCAGTGCCCTGTGCGGTGTAGAAATAATGGAAAACAAGGTCTTTTGTCCTTCTTTGACCCTCCACGGATGCTAGTTTCACCCTGCTTTGTGTGGACAATGTCATGCGGTACTGGTATCAACAAATGCTCAGTGTGGACAGGTTCAAAGTTGTTAGGTTGCAGAGTGACAATCTAGGGCTCAGGAAACCTGGTTTCTGCTCAGCCATGGAAACCCTTTGAGTTGGGAAGAAAACTGATAAAACCCACTCTTTAAATATGTCACATACCTTGAAAGCTCTATTAGAGTCACTGTGCTTCTGATGTGGTGGCATGTAGCATCCATCACACAGTAATATAATTGCACGTGAGACAAGCCCCCCCCCCGGTGGTTTAAAACCAGCACTTTTAAAAACTGCATTAGGGCATTCGTTGCCAGCCAGGCACTGCCAGGAGGCTTGCCCGCTACTGACTGTGCCAGGGTTGGGGCAGCAGAAGCCTCAGCCACTTCGCAAGCAAGAACATCACCACCACCTGGCCAGCATTGGGGAGGCTTCTCAGCTGGGCAGTGACACAGTTCTTGCCTCCGGGGTGTGTGTGTGTGTGTGGACAGGTCCAGCAGCGGGTCAAGCAGGTGAGGACTCTCAGCTGGTGCCCCGAGCCTGGTGCTGTCACTGGCCAGGAAATCTCCCAGCCCTGGCTGGGGGAGGGGGGGATAGAATATGCATCTTGCTTTCGATGCAAAAAAAGGGCATTAAAACAGGATGTATATGTTGCAATCAGGTTTGTGCCTGTTTGCAGATAAACTCGCAGAATTTATTTATTTAACTTAACTTTACTTTTATTGAACTCATACCCCGCCCTTCTAGACAAAGTCTACTCGGGGCGGCTTACATGAGTAATAAAAATACAATAATATAACATACATAATAATAAAAACCTACTAACTAATACATATATACATTATCAAGATGGGGATAGCTAAGAAGCAATAATTGACTGGAGGGAAGGCCTGCCTAAAGAGCCAAGTTTTTAAATGGCTTTTAAAAATGCCTAGCAAGGAGCCAGACAGATTTCCGTTGGGAGGGTATTCCATAACCGAGGGGCCACTGCCAAGAAGGCCTGGTTTCTTGTTCTTTCCTTCCGGGCCTCTCTCGGCGTAAGGCCCCTCAGCTGTCCCTGCTGGCTTTGTCAAGTGATTCGGGTAGAACTAGGTGGGAGAAGGCGATCTGTCAGGTATCGAGGTCCCAAACCATTTAGGGCTTTATACGTCATCATCAGAACTTTGAAATCAATGTGGAAACGAATAGGCAACCAGTGCAAAGCAGCCAGGGTGGGGGAGATATGCTGATATATTCTCACCCCAGTAAGAAGCCTGGCTGCTGCATTTTGCACCATTTGTAGTTTCCACCACGTAGAGTGCATTACAATGGTCTAACCTCGAGATTACGAGAGCATGGACAAGAGTAGTGAGGGCCCCCCCATCAAGATACGGTCGCAGCTGGGCAATCTGCCATAGGTGAAAATAGGCGGAATGGGCCCTGGATGCTACCTGGGTTTCCATGGTAAGCGCCGGGTCCAGATGTACCCCCAAGCTGCGAACCTTGCTCTTTGCGGTGAGGGTCGACCCCCCCAAAAGAAATGGAGTCACCCAAACCGCTGATGGAAGGACCGCCCACCCTCAAGACCTCTGTCTTGTTTAAATATTTAAAATATTTTAACCCACCTGCCTCCTTATAAAGGACCCAAGGCAGCTTACATACAGTGGGGTCTTGACTTGAGAACTTAATCCGTATTGGAAGGCGGTTCTCAAGTCAAAAAGTCTGTAAGTCAAGCCGTCTGTAAGTCAAGGGTCCACTGTAATTAAAACGCTGGCTCTATGGCTTGGAAAACGGGGATGAGTCAGACACGACTGGACTAAATGTCAAGGGACTGGGATATAGAAAGCTAATGAGCTACCTTAATCTACTTACTTGAAATTCCTATTTTCTTGTGTGTTTGCTCTGTATTGCTCCTGTCTCGATTTATTTAATTATTTGCTTTAAAGCCTTTTTGACTGTTTCTGCAACTGTTGAGACTTTCTAATTTTTTTCTGCTGTTTTTGACATTTTCACTGTCTTTAATATGAGACAGTGGTTAAACTGCAGTACTACAGCCAAAACGCTGTTCATGACCCACGTTCAATCCCAGGTAGCCGTCTAAAGGTTCACTCAGCCTTCCATCCTTCTGAGGTCAGTATATAGAGTACCAAGCTTGCTGTGGTGGGGTGAATGAGTAACCTGCATAATTAAATTGTAAACCATCCAGAGAGTGCTTTAAGAGCTATAGGGCTGTATATAAACAGTACTTTTTTTGCTTTTAAAAACATATACAATTTCTCCATACAATTGTTTGACTTTTTGAATAAAGATGGTTTGTGGTAGTTAAACCCAGACCTTCCCTTTACCATCTACCAGGAGCCTGTATGTTTTGTGGGTGTAATGGCATTTCTACCTTGTATTGTTGGCATGAGAGTCATAGCACTTAGCCTTGTGGAATTTGGGGAACTCCTTAACCATTGCTTTAATATCGCATGCAAGCAAAGCGGTGCTCAAGGTGTTGCAACAAAGGATTTCACCTTATATGAAGCAAGAAATGCATGATGTCCAAGCTGGGTTCTGAAAAAGAGGAGGCACTTGAGATCATATTGCAAATATCTGCTGACTACTGGAACGCTCAAAAGAATTTCAGAAAAAGATCAGCCTGTGCTTTGTAGACTACAGCAAAGCTTTTAACTGAGTGGATCATGAGAAGCTATAGATAGTTCAGAAAGAAATGGGTGCGCCTCAGCACTTGATTGTCCTGATCTTGTGGCACTGATCATGAACTGTTAATAGCCGACATTAGAGTAAAGCTGAAAAAGAACACTAGAATAAGGAAGCTAGCTAACAGTGCCAAGAGACACTGGCAAATGAGGGAATACAGTAATAGGTTACAGTTGCCCAGTGCAGTCAACAACTGCTGGTTTTTGCCTGGGTTGAATGGTAAAATGGGTAAAATGGGTTAAATGCCTGTTAATTGAGGCCAAACCAACTATGTTATTGTGCTGGGAAAGATTTTTCAAGGCCGTAAAACACCCTCTCTAAGTTAATTAAGTGAGAAACTGAGGCTGTCCTACTTTGGGCACATAATGAGAAGGTAAGATTCTCTGGGGAAGACCAAAGATCAGATGGGTTGACTCCATCAAGGAAGCCAGAGGTGTAGGTTTGCAAGAACTGAGCAGGGCTGTTGAGAATAGGACATTTTGGAGTTCCCTCATTCATCGGGTCGCCAGAGGTCGGAGGCAACTTGATGGTACATAACAACAGTTAAAACTGTATGTTTTTTCTTCTTCTTAAGGAAATGAGTATCTTCATCAGTCTGAGGAAGATGATATAATTCTTTACAATGTTCAGTATGGACAGTCAACGACTCTCCTGACTAACAGCACGCTTGTATGTATCACCACAACTTTCAAATAACAAATGAATTGATTAAAGTGAAGATTATACTTTGGATTCCAACTGGATTCTTCATCTTTCAGAAAAAAGTGAATGCCACAAACTATGCACTGTCAGGGGACCAGAAATTTATGCTGTTGGAAAGCAATTACTCAAAGGTAAAACATTTATTTCTTACAGGGATCAATGAAATGCCCACAAGGGACTTCTGAGATTTGTCTTCTAATCACAACCCTTCCCAACAAACCTATCCTATGTGGAAAAATATTCCCCCAGTGAAGCTTCCGTGCAAAGAACCTTCCCTGCCAAAACTATCCTTTTCAAGGACGAACCTACAGATGAACACTAGATATTTCCCTTTATATGAGGAGCAGACACATGCGAACTAAGCATTTTTGTGAGGAGGGAGGATAGCACACACACAAACACACACACACATACACACATACCATTGCAGTTCTTCAAAGTAGTTTACAGATAATGTCAAAACCCGACTGCCCCATCTCCAGTTAATAAGAATTCCATTGTGCTCAACAGTAACAGTGAAAGTAGCTTTTTCACCAAGCTGCAGTTGCAAGAAGAAATGTAGTTTGCCTCCAGAATTCACACATTTGCAGGACTTCTGGGGTGTCTTCAGAGAAATAAAGGGTGCATGAAACAAGGACCAAATCTGATGGGCTGAACAGTGTGCATCTAAACAAATGCACATGAACAGGCTGGTCAGAGGACAGAAATATACACACTGCAGGGGATGTATAAATAAATGCTCAAATTTAGGAAAAATTCTATGCAGTGTTAACAACTGCATAGAAAACTCAGTGTGGGAGGAGAAAAAACAAAGTCTCCCAACCCAATGTCAAATAAGGCCAAGAGGAAAATTCACTTGAGATTTGGAGAAGCAGAACAAGACTGAGATTGAGATTGAATCCCTAACACTATTGCCTCCTCAACATTTAAAGCTGGGATAAGAGCCAAGGAGCCCTTAAAAGCCATCTCTGTGGCCCCTGCTCCCCCATATCTCTCAGATTTTTCATCTTTAAAAAAGAAAGAAAAGGGAAAGTACAGTAGTGATCGTTGGTTGTTGTGGATTTTTCAGGCTCTTTGGATGTGTTCTGAAGGTTGTTCTTCCTAATGTTTCGCCAGTCTCTGTGGCCGGCATCTTCAGAGGACAGCTCTTAGATGCTGGCCACAGAGACTGGCGAAACGTTAGGAAGAACAACCTTCAGAACACGGCCAAAGAGCCTGAAAAAACCACAACAAACATTAGATCCTGGCCGTGAAAGCCTTCGCGAATACACAGTAGTGATCCCTTATCCACAGGATCAGTATCTGCTGATTCCCTTATCCATGGTCTGAAAATATTTTAACACCCTTCTCAAATATGCTTTGAACAATAAAGTTACCTGAACTGGTCACTAGAGGAAGACAGAGACCATACAAATAGTGTTCCACGTTTTTCAGCACCCATGGGGAGACTTGGAACTGATCCCCGCAGATAAGAGTCTCCTACTGTAATGTAGAATTGCCCCTTTGGAAGGTACCACGGAGGAATTCTAAAACAAGTGATATTTCCCTCTAGTTTTGAAAGTAGAAGTGCATTTTCCGTCACTTCTAATTGCTGTCGATGGAAGGCATAGGGCAGCCCGTGGAGTCCAGGGGCTGAAAGTGGGTACTGCCCTCTTTAAGCCCAGGGGGAATTCCACTTTAGAAACAGATGTATAGATCTGGTGTAATACATAATTGTTATGCCGTTGGCCCTCTGCAGGTGTTCAGCCTTGCGTAAGGGCTAAAAGGGTAGGTAGGCCAAGTCTGACATGAAAACCTAGCCTCGTGGTCCTCATACACTCAGTTTCCAACATCCCAGTGTAAATTAGTAAAGGGTGTGTATAAATGTGTTTGTACACATATGAGCTTGAAAATAACATGGTGCCTTCAGACCTTGCAACTGAATACGGGTGGATCAATTCTAAGCTGGTGAGGACCAGTGTGTTTGGGTGTGTGTGCTTGCACTTTCTTGAGCCATTGTTAGCAGCTCAGGAAGGAAGAATTTCCAAAAGCTTCTCCATGGTGGCCATGTTATGATACCTGATGCTAAGAGAGGGTCACTGGGGACAGGGAGAGGGGCTCCTTCTCTGGAGGGACCAGGGTGTTGGAAAAGAAGTATAAGAAAAAAAAATAATTAAGCCACTAAAATTGTATCTCTCTAATGGATTTTTTTTCAGCTTTGGAGGTACTCTTACACAGCATCCTATCACATCTATGATCTTACAAACGGGTAAGGTTGAAGCATTTTCCTAATTTTGTCTAGCATCTCTGTTCTTTAGGCTCCTCGAAGATGTCAAATTTTCCTTTTGAGAAAAAAATGGATAGATTATCAAAGGGTAACCTCTCCAGCCATATTCCCAATCTGGTTTTTTAATAGTTGGGTTTTGGTTTGGAATGCTCTGGGTATAGTAATAATTAATATCATGATGGTATGGTATTGAGGATATCACACCTGTCACCTAAGATGAGACTGCATAAAGAAACAGAGGCAAACACTTAGATAGACAAGATGTGAGCAGAAAGAGGAGGAACTGTAAGCTCAGTTTCCACTGTATAGATCTAGTGCGACTTTGGCTCTAGTCTTGAAGACACTCAGAAGGACAGGAATCTGAAGCTTCCCAGATATATCTATATGGCTGGAATGCAATTCCCATCAGTCTAAACCAGGAGGGAAGGATAATGGGAGTTTGTAATTCAACAACATCTGGAGGACCACCGGATTGTTATCCCTGCAGTAAAAATAAAGTAACCCCCACTCACTGGAACTTACTTCCAGAGAAACAAGCACAGGAATAGACTGTGAGTAGATCAAGAAATTGCTAGTAGAATAAATACACACCTATTCACTATCCTGCTTTCTTGAGAGATCACAAGGCTAATTCCACCTCCAATGTAATTCTCAGAATTTCCCAACCAGATGATCTCCAACACATCTGGAAAGTATAGTAGTATAGTGGTAAATCCTCAAGTGGAGGTATTCTTCATGATAGTCCCCCATGGCTATCCCTTGTGCAAGCACAGTCCAAAAATTCAGGCAGTTGGATGCACCCATGTCAACAAATGGGTTCCAACAGTTTTTTCCCCCTCACCCCAAATGGGTCTTTTGTAAAACTAATGGCTCTTAATTGCCCCTCTGAGAGCAACACCCCCAATCCTTTGCATTTCAGCAAAGATAGCTTGCAACAATATACTGTTTCTGTGAAAAATCTATTCCCCCCCCCCCAGCTGCTCTGAGGAGTGCAGCTAAGCTCAAAGAATCCTGAGTGGGGGTGTTCCATGGGGTTATTGTCCCTGGTAACCAGAAAGTCCCAGGGCATTTGCAAGCTCTTGCCCTATGACACCATTGCTCCTCATACACTCAATCATATTTCATTTTCCATGTTTGTTTCTCCCATCACTGCTGCTTCATGTTTTTGGTTCATGCCTCCTGCCTTAATTTCCATACCATCCTATCCTAACTTTTCTCTACACTGTTTGAATTCCAATAATATGTAATTTTGTTGAAGTGAATGACCACAGGAATAGCAGAACACAGTTAATTACCGTTACTATGAAGGCCGGGCAACAGGAACTGTGTTCTCTCCTAGTTATACTGAGTTTAATTAAAGTTGTATAGATTACCTTTAAACTAGAGGCTCTGCAACAGCCACCCCTTCCCACAGTCCATGTCTCAATAAAAGGCACACGGACTGGGGCCCACGTTGCCCTGTGTCCCTTTGGAGACACTGCCGTCGGCTCTTTATCTGGGTCCATGCCAATGTTTGTATATAATTGAATTTCCTGGTGGGGGGGGAGGACCCCATTCCTTCAAATGGGGAGACACACAAACTACTGTATAACATTTTTGGAGGGAGGGCCACACACTAGCATCCGAATAATGTATTTCTAGCAGAGTTCTTTGCCACATCCAACTCAAAGAATACCAGAATAAGCAAAGCAGGAGGTTGCATATAAGTCAAGTTTCCTTACTTAGTCTGGAGTCTTACTGCTTTCGCCCCACATTTTTTGAATAAATAGTGTGTACTTGACTCAATATGACAGAATGTCCTTCCCAATATCATGCCCTTCACCTTTCCCACAACCACTCAGAATCTTCAAAGACCAAGTGTTTTTCATTTTGTAGCACCCCAGTTGTGGACTTTGCTCACTGTGTAGTTCAGGCTGAGACATTTCCTCTCCATCGCTGCTGCCGCCAATTTTCTCCTCTCCTTTCCTCCTCTGCTCTGCTCCTCTCCATTCCTGTCCTCTCTGCTTCTCTTCTCCCCGCTCCTCAATGCTTCTGGGACCCTTCCATGATGGCACACACTCTGGGGAAGAGGACCAGGGGCTTTAGGTAGAAGATGATGGCTGCGCCAACCCTTCTCCATGCCTACCTAGTGATCTTTTAAAAAGGAGGCTGTTGTCAGCCCAAGTTGGACTCCAGCAGTTCATGAGTACTTGTGTTTGTCCAGACACACTTGGAGCTGACACCAAATGTGGGTGTGTATATGAAATTGCAAGTCAGTATGTAGATGGGGATAGTAACAATCCCAGGCAGCTTTTGTGAATGTCTGCAAATACAGAGATTCACTCAAATAGCGGTTGTTGGCATTCACTAGCATATGTCCAACGATGGGGGATTTCACATCTCTTTCAGGGGCATCCACACAATTCATCTGGGATTGTCAGCACTACCTTTTATGTGATCAAGTCAACATTAAAGTAGTCAAGAAATACATAGAAATCTTTCTGTTCTTTCAAGCACTGTGCCAATCCGTCTTTGTTTTCTTTTTCCTTTTTTCCTTTTCTAGGGTTTTTGCCAAAGAATATGAGCTTCCACATAACATTCAGTATATATCCTGGTCACCCATTGGACACAAATTGGTGAGTGTACTAATGAAGTGGAAGAACAATGTTACTTTTGGAGATTTATTTGCCTTTGATGTTTGTTAGACACACTGAGGTACAGAAACCAAGAAGAGTCTCTTGTTACCTTCCAAAAGTCAGTAGATTCTGGCCATCTTCTCGCTTCCCAAATGTAAATACAGCCTTTAAAAATCACTGGGTAGAAAAGGCCCAAACAGCAAAAGGCTAACATACAATCAGGATTTGGCCAGAATAAAGGTTAAGGAAGGAGTATGGAGGGTCAGGACAGCTATTCTTTGCCCCCCGCACAAACCACTTCAGCTTGCCTCAAACTAGACACACTGAGGTACAGAAACTAAGAAGAGTCTCTTGTTACCTTCCAAAAGTCAGTAGATTCTGGCCATCTTCTCGCTTCCCAAATGTAAATACAGCCTTTAAAAATCACTGGGTAGAAAAGGCCCAAACAGCAAAAGGCTAACATACAATCAGGATTTGGCCAGAATAAAGGTTAAGGAAGGAGTATGGAGGGTCAGCACTAGCATTTAGGCTAGTGGTGGGCAGCTCTGGCCAGGCCAACACATATCAATGGGATCTATTGTTTTGGCTATACCCTTTGTCAAAAAACGTGAGGTTCTCCCTTCTCAGATTGCTTAAACTGGAAGTGGAAGTTTACATTCATTTTTTTTAAAAGCAGGAAGAAGGAGAGAGGGAGAGAAAGAAGAGAATGGTCTTACTAAAGGAGAGAGAGAAAGAGAGAAGAGAAAGATATTTGTCTGCTTGCAGAAGGGCAGCAAAGAGGGGTCCAGTAAAAAAAGCAGGAAGAAGGAAACAGTTTTTACTAAAGGAGAGGGAGAGAGAGAAGAAAAAGGTCTTTGCCTGTTTGCAGAAGGGCAGATTGACTTCGCAAAGCCATTGAAATGCATTGAGTCAGCTTCAATACATTCCAATGGAGGAAACATTGTATCGTTTAACGATGTTTCCTATGGGTTTTTTCGCTTAAGGATGGCAATCCGTGCCTATTGGAATGGATTAACCGGTTTCCAATGCATTTCTATGGGAAATGGTGTTTCACATAACGATGTTTCACATAACGGTTTTTTTGGGAACCAATTAAAATCGTTATGCGAGGCACCACTGTATGGACCTAGTCCTTTGTTATGGTTGTGTTTGGAAGCCTAGGACTCTTGCAAGAATTCAGAATCACACCAAGTTTAGATGATGGAGTCTTTATTGTTCCGTAGATGCTTCTCAGTCTGAGGCACAACGATTCTTGCTTTCCCAAACCCCAACAGAAAACCTGGGGAGAACTGCTTTACGTAGCTCAGGACAAACTCATAAACCTGGCCTGGATGGATTTGCTACATATATTGTAGTTAAATGCTACAGTTCAAAATGTACCACCGGCAGATGGATTGGTGTGTATTGTAGCACTCCAGATTGCTTCATCACAAGCAGGTGGTCTGTACCTGTAAATGGCTCCAGGCAATGTGGGTGGTATATAAATGTCCTAAATTATAAAGGACTAAATCCTATTAGTGTTTATGTAAGACTTGTGAAACTTGCCATGCCAAATCGCACCTAACTGACAAAGTGCTGGGACATGTTTTGGTTGTGTGCCCGGTCACAAGCCCGGTTGCACAACTGAGATGCGCCCTGGCACTTTGTCGGTCAACTCCAATTAACTGTAACAAGTTAAGCAAACCTTACATGAGCAGTAGAATTCCACCCCATAGTTGCTACAGCCATAGCTCTTACTGAGTACATTTGGCCTTTCCAACCTGCTGCTATCCTACAAGTGCTGGAATACAATTATAATTATTTCCAGCCGATGTTGGCTGAGATGATGGAGGTTGTAATCAAAAATATTATGGAAAGCATCAGGTTGCTGATGGCTTGGATGGTCCAGATGTAAAAATCTCAGTGTGCAACTCCAGAGCATCTCCATTCACATAGAACATTGCTGATTTTCCCCCAATGTGATAGACCCTACACCTTTGTGTAGAGGATGTTCCTCGAAGCCTGTGGGATGGTGAATATTGGCACATGAGTACCAACAAGAGCATTTCCTGTTTGCGTGGATAGGTCTTTGGATCCAACCATATATGCTATACTCTCTGCAATCGCTTTGACTGCAAAAAAGAAGTTGTGTTTTCTACCTGAAAATTTTGGATTTTTTTTCCTCCTCCCCCCCACACCAGGCTTATGTGTACCAGAACAACATCTATTTGAAACAGGATCCCAGACAACCTGCTATTCAAATAACCAAGGATGGTAGTCAGAATAAAATATTTAATGGAATTCCTGACTGGGTTTATGAAGGTAAACTGCATCTTAAAATCAGCGTCATTTCTATATATGGCAAATGTTAGGCATTCAAAAACTGTCATGCCACTGACAACAGCCAACTACTGTTCTCTGTGGCTTAACATTGTGTTAAACCTTTCTTCATAAGGGTTGCGTTTCTCCAAGTGTGTGGTTTCTCAACATCCTTTATCTTGGTCTTTCATACCCTATTGCATCTTTCCTTAGGTCAATAATCTAAAGTAAAAGGAGTATATATCCCAGTCAGTTTCTGCCTACCCCAGTTTTAGATCCTTTTTCAGGTTTCGCAGGTGGGTGTCATAAAGCCAATTGTCAGATAGATCTCGTATCTTGTCCATCTGCAGTATTACAGCATTTTTATTTCTAATCAAAGAGGATGTTGCAAACAACATCTTGTTGATGAGCAAGGTCTATAACCTAATATGGGCCTGAGAGATGGGAGAGCAAACTCTACACTGGAGAAGCTTTGAAGCAAATGCAGTGAGGATCAGGTGGAGATGAGGCAATTTCCACCAGTTCTTCCTGTCTTGTCCAGTCCTCTGTACTTCCCAAACGTCTACCCTTAAGGGTTGGGGAATCCTCTGAAAAACAGTGGTAGGTAGACCAGCTTCCTTCACTGGATCTCAGTCCCTCCGCATTCCCAGGAGAGCAAGTCTGGATCCAAACCACTAAATTTAGAAAGTGTAAACAGTTCAAATATTGTACCAACCGCAGTATAAAATAATGTCACAAATGTTTTGAATCATTGCAGCAGTAGCCCAACAAAACAGTAGCTGTCACCAGGAGGTTCCCCTATGAGTAGATATTCAGCTGCCCAAAGTTCCCCCAAAACCCCGCAGAAACCCAGCTAGCCCAGTCTTGATTATGGAAGCCTGGCTTAATCAGCAGTTGCTCTGATGTGAAAACAGCAAATCCAGGGACTCCCTTTCTTCCAAAGTTAACATCAGCCTTGCAAGGAAGACCAAAACTTAATTTAAACTGGTAGGAATGTTGGGAATGGATGTGGTAGCAAGTCCAAGTGGTTAAGCACCAAACCAAGCACCACACTGTTTTCCCAACCACAATTCAAAAAAGCACAACATGTGGAGAATTTTAATTTTTTGTTAAGAAAAAGGAGAAAAAGTCAAATTACAAAAAGGAAAACTCTTAATTTTCTACATCAATTCCGGTAAATGAGACAAGTCTAAACTGCAATAATCTTAAGCAAACAACAGGTAAAGAACACCTGCACATATAACAGGAAAGTTAATTAGCCTGTTCTAATTACTCTAAGGATCTACTGTATAACTTGATGTAATCAGATCTCTAAGCTCACACAGAGTGTGGGTCTCCCTAGCATAGTAATTTTTGGAAATCTCAAGGCACGTGGCTCCTCTCTTCTCTTGGTCCTAACTATTCTAATACTTTTTTTTAACCTCATACTCAAACGACACATCTTTGCCAATCCCTAGTGGAACACAAACTATTTTCTAGGTATCCGCTTTGATTACTCCCTGCAATGCAACGGTGGTTTACCACTCAATTACAAGCCCTATTTCAGATGGTTTTCAAAGTGACCTTGGCTTAATTCCCTCTGCCTCCTGGTATTCATGCGGCTCTCTCCTGGTATTAGTCATTCTAGGTGACACTGATCTTCATTGCACCAGCCTTTCAGATTCCTCCAAGATGGATACCATTTGCTTTACTAGGGTATCTAACCTGTCCCACTGGCGGAGTGTCATTTGGATGGTAGACTTGCTTACCAGTGGAGAGGCCCCATCTGCCCCTTCCCTTTTGACCTGGAAGGAAATGGGAAAAGCAAATCTGTACATGGATGCCTCATGTGACCTTTTTAGCTGTCAGCTTCTCATTAGGATAGAACTTTTGTTACTTGTTTTTCAGCAACTTTTCAGAGAAGGAAATCTGTATAGAAACCCATTTCGTTATCAGATAACGGTAGATAGTTCAAGATCCTCCTGTAGTAGACGATTCATGATCATTATAACTGCATGCCATCAAATTGATTCCAATTAATGGTGACCCTTTCTAGGGTTTTTTTTAGTTAGAGGATACACAGAAGTGGTTTACCATTCCTTTCTTCTGGGGGTGCCCTGTGACTGACTATGCAGCTTGCCCAAGGCCACACGGGTTGACTCTACTCAGAGGAGGCACAGTGTGAAATCAAACTCCCAGTCTCTGGCTCCACTGAGCTATCAGATGACATCTAATATGATTTCTTTCAGAGGAAATGCTGGCTGTAAAATATGCACTGTGGTGGTCTCCAAATGGACAGAATTTGGCATATTTACAGTTCAATGATACTGAAATACCAGTTATTGAATATGCATATTATGGTGAGGATCAATATCCCAGAAAAATAACTATTCCATATCCAAAGGTAAGTTCTTTGCTTCAGTTTCTTTTTTATTTGACGAAGTTTTTCGAAACAGATTTTATTGTATATTACTATAAAGGTGCTTGGATTTCTTATATTACTAAGTAAACTTTAATGCTTTATGTAAAACTGAAAATTGGCTTAAGCACTGTATATTTTGAAATTTGGAGGTGTTCTGCGTTAGACAAAGAAAGGCAGTTTGGGGATACTTTTACTGCTTAGCTTCAGGGGTAGCCCTAGCAATATGCAGTGGCAGAAAGGGAGTGCTGGAGGGGGAGACACTGTGGCTTCAGTACAATGTGTCTGGGAAGTTCCACTGCCACCAGGACATGAGAGAATGCCATTTGGATTATTTCTCTTTTGGCTTGATCCCAAGCTCGCCTGACCTACTGCTCTCCTGGTGCTGAGAAAAGAAGCAGGCATGGATGAAGGCATGGAAACCTAGAGCAAGTGGCCTACTCTTTCTCACCATCCCTACCTGTCTGTCTCTTTTTGCCAGAAAAAGCCAGCATTGCATGGCTTTTTTTTTTTGGTGTGGGCTGACGAAATCACAGATACAGTGGTGCCTCGCTTAACGAAGCAAGTTGCCTTTCTCACCATCCCTACCTGTCTGTCTCTTTTTGCCAGAAAAAGCCAGCATTGCATGGCTTTTTTTTTTTGGTGTGGGCTGACCAAATCACAGATACAGTGGTGCCTCGCCTCGCNGGACCCCCTAAGTCGTGTGCAAACCTGATTTGGCTTTGATCTGACTTTTCATTAATTTATGGTGAATTTTTTTTTCGGCCCGTAGGAACCAATGGACCTGTCAAAATCTGACAGCTCCATGCTTTCCTATGGGGGAGAAAACAATTCACCATAAATTAACGAAAGTTCAGATCAAAGCCAAATCAGGTTTGCACACGACTTAGGGGGTCC